ATCTAATGAACAAACTGAACTAACAAGGAAAATGGGGACGGACTCATAGATGGAGAGCAGGATGGACAGCTAGTGGGGTTAGGGGAGCTTAGAGGGTGGAGGGATTCAGCAAAAAGGAAAAAGGACTCATGGACATGGACAGCAGTGTGGTGATTGCAGAGGGGAGGAGGTATAATGGGATTAAACAGTAATGAAAAAAAAATAAAGATTTTTTTAAAAAAAGCAAACTCTCCTAGTTATTCCTCAATGTAAGGAGGCTTTCTGGTTTCCCAGGCTAGCCATTCTCAGATGTAGAATACCTCTTTCCCCTTCACTAGTGATCAACCTCTGTGCTCAGCTGTATGTATGAAGAGCCCTCATTTCCCTTAGCTCTTGGATAATGATGAATGCATTCCATACAGCTGGTGATGAAGATGACTCAAAGAAATTGCCTGCATCAGCTCAGAATATTTTTAAAAGCAATGCAAATATAGATGGAGAGTGGGAAAAATATCTTTTGACAAGCAGCCTTATTGTGGGTTAATTTAGGTAAAGGTCTCACAAATGTGTATCTTGTTGGATATTTCCTTTAGATTTTAAAAAAGAAGACCCAGGATTTTATTGTTCCTGTATAGCATCTAATAGTATATATTAAGTGTCTCCAATGCTCAATGGCTATTCTTAGGTAAGGACAATAAAGGCAGATAGTGCTTTTCTATCTAAAAAGCACTTTTACACACATTGCCAATTTATGATTACTTGTTTTCATTATGTCAAATAGTCTGACCTACTTGATCTACAAATAAGGTTATAATTTCTTCTGTATTTAGAAGAAATGATTAATAGAGGAATAATATTTATATGTATAGTGTACATTGAAATTGGTTTGAAATCCAGGCAAAGGTTATTTTTTTTCTTTCAAAGAAGAAGGAAATACAAAAGAAGGGGCTTTGGAAAAAGAAGAGAAAGCCTAAAAGAAAGACTTGAAGTGGCTTAATCAAAATAGCTTTGTTCTCAGAAGTGGAATACATGGGTCTTGAGGCAGGTCCATTTTTAATATTTTGAGGAAACTCCATACTGTTTTCCACAGTGGCCGCACCAGTCAGCATTCCTACCAACTGTGCAGCTAAGGGTTCCCTTTTCTCCACACCCTCGCCAACACTTGCTTGTTGACTTATTGATGACAGACATTCTGACATGTGGGATATCATACTTCATTGTGGTTTTAATTTGCATTTTGCTGATGATTAGTGATGTTGAGCATCTTTTCATATACCTATTGGCCATCCATGTGTCCTCTTTAGAGAAGTGTCTACTCAGGTCCTTTGCCCATTTTATAGTTGGATTGTTTGTTGTTTGGTGTTGAGTTTTAAGTTCTTTATAAATTTTGGATATCAACCCCTTATCAGATGTGTTATTGGCAAATATGTTCTCTCATTCTGTGGATTGTCTTTTCATTTTGTCAATGGTTTTCTTTGCTGTGCAAAGGCTTTTTAGTTGATGCAGTCCCATTTTTAATTTTTTTCTTTTGTTTCCCTTGCCTGAGGAGATATATCAGAAAAAATATTGCTGCAAGCAATGTCCGAGATTTTGATTCCTATGTTTTCTTCTAGGGTTTTTATGGTTTCATGTTTTACATTTAAGTCTTTAATCCATTTTGATTTCATTCTTGTGTATGGTATAAGAAGTTGGTCTAATTTTTTTTGTATGTATCTGTCCAATTTTCCCAGCACCATTTACTGAATAGACTATTTTTACCCCATTATATGTTCTTGCCTCCTTTGTCTAATACAAATTTGACTATAAAGGCTTGTGTTTTTTTCTGGGCTCTCCATTCTGTTCCATTAATCTATATGTGTTTTTATGCCAGTACCATGCTCTTTTGATTACTATGGCCTTGTAGTATAGTTTGATATCAGGTAGTATGATTCCTTCAACTTTGTTCTTCTTTCTCAAGATTGCTGTGGCTATTTGAGGTCTTTTGTGGCTCCACATAAATTTTTGGAATATTTGTTCTGGTTTTGTGAAATATGTCATTGACATCTTGATAGGAATTGCACTGAATGTGTGGATTGCTTTGGGTAGTATAGACATTTTAATGATGTTAATTCTTCCTACCCACTTCTGGGAATATAGCCAAAGAAACCTGAAACAGTGATTTGAAAGAATACATGCACTCCTATGTTCACTGCAGCATTATATACAATAGCCAAGATTTGGAAGCAGGCCAAGTGCCCATCAATAGTTAGAGAACATTAAGCTAAGTAAAATAAGCCAGTCAGAGAAAGACAAATATAATATGATTTCACGTATATGAGGAATCTAATGAACAAAATAAGCTAACAAACAAAATAGAACCAGACTCATAGATACAGAGAACAGACAACTGTCAGAGGGGTAGGGGGTTGAGGGGCTGGGTAAAAAAGTAAAGGGACTAGCAAAAACAAAACAAAAGAACTCACAGGCACAGACAACAGTATGGTGATTATCAGAGAGAATGGGGTTGGGAGTAGGTAGAAGAGGATAAAGGGGGTATAAATGGTGATGGCAGGAGACTTGACTTTGGGTGGTAAACACACAATACAATATACACATAATACATTATAGAGTTGTATCCCAGAAACCTATATAATTTTACTAACTAATGTCACCCCAATAAATTCAATAAAAACTAGCTTTGTTCTAAACTCTACTTTGAGCTGAATCTTTCCTGAATGGAGTACTTGAATGGAATTGACTAGACACCATAATGGATATTAGTGGCAATATAATTGGAAGGAAAGACAGAGTAGGCCTCCACATAGAGGCCTTAGTTTGAGTATGACATAGTTAGAGGGTTTTGATAACCAGCAATCACCATGTAGTTGCTTTTGGAATATCCCTGAACAATTAATGGCCAGCAAAGTTCAGTGAATTCAATATGGTACATTTGAGTAACTGACTTATCAGGGATTTGTTAGGTTGTTTTAAGTTATTGCAAGGCTCTGCTGGAGTAACTAATGGTGGTTTTGGTGACTAGAAGGGACTCATTCTTATGATCTGCCAATATTTCCTAATCTATGCTCTTCAGAGTGAAAATATCTCTCATAGTTTTTTTTTTCAAAACTAAACCATTCCTCACAATGACCAGATCCCTTTCAGACACATCCAATACTTGAATTTTCTGGGGCAAATGGGACTGATTGATATCCAAGAACCAGTGATGTGCTCCTCCTAGGATATTTGATCCACTGAAAATTTTAGGACAAGTACAAGAATCACCAAGCATTTATATTTTGCAAAAGTGCTTTCATAAAGAGTACATAATGGGATGACACTGTAAAAAAATATGCAAAAGTATAACTTCTTAAAATGTACCAGCATCCACTGTTCCTATATTGAATAGATACCATTGCTATTTTCTGGAACTCCTCAAAATAATTACCAAGTGGTTGCAGTTTTATTGTTCATCTTCATATAGATTGCTTTACCTGTAAAGAGGTGAAGTCCCAGGAGGAAAAAGATTATAGACAAGTGTACTGGGGTTGGTATGAGGTAGAGAGAGAGAACTATCTTTAAATCTTTTCTTTCTAGGAAGTTAAATATAAACCCTCAATTCAGGTCATGAACTTTATTCAGAATGATGATATAAAATGTTATAGTAAGATATTGTTATCTTGTTGGTTAACTTTTAACACCCTTTTGAATGTTCCCACAAGGTGTGAAATTTGAAGGGTAAATTGCCATGTATCACCTTTCTATATACTGAGGACCAGCAGCAGAAGTCAGCTGTAAAGTTCAAGAACAAGGTGTGCCTTACTTTCTGGCAATGGCAATTTTGGAGGGTAGCTATGAGGCTTAAACGAGATGACACATGTAAAACATTTATAAGAGCCCCTGGTACATAGTAAATGCTCAGTAAATGTTAACTATCATCATCATCATCATCATCATCACCATCATCATCATCTTTGGCCAGAATCAGACAATTAATTTTTAAAGGTCTCAGGCAATGCCCTGTCCCCAAATTTCTACATTACTATTTCTCTTACCACCTAGAATCACACAATTACTTAGTCACCTCCTTTAGAGTTTTAAAGGTTTTTTAAAACAATATTTTATTTATTTATTTTTAGAGAGAAAGGAAGGGAGGGAGAGAGGGAGAGAAACATCAGTGTGTGGTTGCCTCTCACGTGCCCCCTGCTGGGGACCTGGACCACAACCTGCCTGACTGGGAATCTAACTAGTGACCATTTGGTTCACAGGCTGGCACTCAGTTCACTGAGCCACACCAGCCAGGGCAGAGTTTTAAAGGTGTTGTGTCATCCAAAGTCCTGATTTAAAATGTACCTAGCTCTGAACTAGGTATTACCTTAATACACTTTAATATTTTATGAATAAAAGGGACTTGATTGATAAATGCATTCAGAATATTATTATGGGCACATGGATCTCCATACTGAGTGAATAGGAATGAAGGAAAAAAATTAAACATTTAGTGAGTATTCACTGGGGCCATATGAAAGGTCTTTTACATATTTTGACTCTCTTTATCCTCATGACTCTGCAAGCACGTAAGTGACTGAGCCAGAATTCACTGCTCATGTTACTTTATGCAGATTTGACTAATGCTTCAGACTTATATTTTATTGTGAGCCAATTATGTCAAGCACTCCACTAAACAAGTCTACTTCTACATGTTGATTTCCATGGGCTGTTTACCACCTAATTAAGTTGTCTCCAGATGGAAGAAAATAAAAGTTTAACATGAAAAGGACTTATGTTTATTTATGCAGGTAAATCCAGAGTGGAGAAAAATCTTTATGTGGAGAAAATATTCTCAAGAAGAGGCATCCACAGAGTTTTTGCTCTCGAAAAATGATGAAGTAAATGGGTTTTTGCCTTTTGCTATCTTCCATTCTTTCCTTTAATGCCCAGTGTACTAGCATCCTCAATGCATTTATTAATGAAGTCTCAGTATGTACAACACTCTGATAAGCAAAGTCTTAAATGCAAAAGAAAAAGTTAATTGGTAAGTTTACCAGAATTCTGGAAATCCATGAAGTAGCAGCATAAGTGGTTTGCCTCTTTCTCCGGCAGCAACATAATGAAATCTTAACCCCGAATCCTGCAGGGCATAAAATCTTAGTGATGATTTGTGTTGATTGTCAAAGCAGTACATTTACTATTTCCATTTCGTTAAAAAATCACTCATATTATTTTAAATAATAAGAAATAAGATAATATTAATTTTCAAAAAGAAAAACCTTCATGATTCATCAACAGGGTATATTGACAGACTTACTTTTGTCAACATTCTGTTTATAGTACCTTCCTTTCTTCTACTTAAAAAGTCACTTTATATTTTATGAGCTTCTGAAACAATGTCACAATTTGTAACTTTCATCTTAACTGCTGTGTCACATTTCATCTCATTCAAATCCTATAGGATGTGTAAATAATTCTGATCTGAATTTATATTCCTACCATGTTTACCTCCTAGCCATGTACTTTTCTCGGCTTGCCTGTCAAGAGCTATGCCATCAGTTATATAATTCACACCTCCTTTCCATATTTTTAGTTCTCTCCTTCCCACATTATTTTAAGTTGAGGTTTGCACGTACAGTTCCCTTCACAGCCTGCTCCTCATGTCACATCAATGTATTTGTAACAGCAGAATGCTGAGTGCTTAAGACTTCATCTGCATGTGGGAGACAAGACTGTCCAAGGGAAATAAAGAGCATAGGGATGAGACAGGAATACAGCAGATACGAGGTAAGCTGAAGAGAGGAAAGCGCCCAAAAAAGCAAACAGAGAAACAAAACTCAGAAAACAATGAGGAAAAAAACCCAATAACCTGAAGGTTAGCGTGGACACTAGGTTTTATCTTAGGTTACCCAAGCAACTGGGTTTTCAGGTGTGAAAAAAATCTTAAAGTTCATCTAATCCAACCCCATCATTTTTGCAGATTTAGAAACTGAGGCTCAAAGATGTTAACGCAGATCAGGAAGTTGGTTTGGAATAGGTCTGTCACTAGAACCCCTAACAAGTCCTACCTCCCAAAACAACCAATGTTCTTTCCATCCCTTGGTTCTGTGTCTCTGGGGAAACTCTTCAGTTGACCAGTGAGAAGAAAGGCATTATGGGGAATTCCAGGTGATTTTTACACTGTTTTTTTCCTCCTCATATTGGATGAACATAATAAATCTGACTTTGTCCTCAACTACAGAATGTCTTCCTAGTTCAATAACTTCTTATATTGGTGTTAAGTCTTGGAAGATAAAATACTATGGGCACTTAATTGGATTTAGTGAACAAATTACTTTTTTGCACTTACTATGTGGTAGACACTGGTCTTTTTGTTGCTGATTCTGTTGCTATTGTTGCTGTTTCACAAATATTAACTCATTTAATTCTCATATCAATCCTAGGCTGAATAAAGGTAAGAAAGGCATATCACATGGTCTTCTGAACTACAGCTGCTGGACAATCTAGTTCCTAACAGGAATCCCCCACTTGGTGACGTAAATGTTCCCTCCTGTGAGGCTAGTTTTGAAAGGCCTGTAAGTCAAACTGCAGGGTGCATCACAAAGGGCACCACCTGGAACCTGAAGAAATAGAGTATCTATGAGCTTTGAGGAGGCTTGGGACACAGGCATGGACAATTAAACAGTCTGCTTGCGTGCTTGACATTTACTTTTTATTCCATTCCTTTGGTCTCAAACTTCAAAAGTCGGCTTCCTTCTCCACAAACATATACCATTTATTTGCGATTTCATGCTGCTTAGATCATCTGTGAATGCTCCATTCTGCTGACATGAATAAACTCCTGATTTCCGATGACTTACCCTCTTTACTCTCTCAATCTTTAATATTTGGGCAAAGACAGACTCCTGAAACAGTAAGGCGCCACCAGGAACAATTCCCTACAGCAGACCTGAGCTCTAAAGGGCAAAAAGGTGACAGGAAACAGCTTCCCCTTACAATTGGAATGGGAGCGAATTATTCTGGATTGTGGTGGACAGTGTGACACTAATATAATACGACCCTAATTACAGAAACTGCACATAACCTATTCTCTCTCTCTCTCTCCCCCTCTCTCCTCCTCTCCCCCCCCCCCCCCCCTTAACCCCCGCCCCCAACACACACAAACGAAACGGGAAACGTAAACACACTAACAGTCCCGACCTCTCTCCGGCCACACATCGCCCCTCTTGCCTCCGCGTTGGCATCTTGGTCGTCCCCGCCGCGCGCCCTGCGAGCCCGAGACACTAGGGGACGCTGGGCCGGGCGTCCAGAAAGGAGCAGCCCCATGCCCTCGGCTGTCACTGCCGTCACGTTCCCTCCCTACATCGCCGAGCCGGCGCCGGCCTTCACCTTGATCCTCACGTAGCAGTGGGTGCCCAAGGAGGGGTCGCTCAAGCACGCAGGAGGGTGTTCCCGGGCGACCCGCCGGAAGGTCTGCGCAGGTCCCTTGCCGATGCTCCACAAAAGTTTGAGCAGGGAGATGGAGGCGCAGAGCCCACCGTAGCAGTAGACCAGGGACCAGAAGAGCAGGGACCGGATCGTCACCATCAGGCGGGGCAGGCAATCCCGGGGCCTCGCCATCGGGCGGCGGCGGCGGCGGCGGGGCCCACCGCGCGTCTGGGGCACCGGAGCGAGGCAGCGAGCGCTGCGGCGCGTCAGGCCTGCTGGCCCTCCGGCCCGTCCGCGGTCGCCGGCCCCGCGCCCATTTCCCCGGCCGGCCGTGTCCCAGCCTCCGGCTCTCGCGCTCGCCGCGCGCGCTCGGGAGCTGCTGCGCCCAGGCTCCGAGAGCCGCCCAGCGCTGCGACGTCCGCCCAGGACTAGGCAAGGGCGAAGACCCGGTCTTCCTCCGCAAGGGGAAATCCCTTTTCCAAACTGTGAGGAACTGAAGGCGAGACTCTCAAACCATCCCAGTTACGGCGAAGGGAAGGGCCACGCTTGTTTTGACCAGTGTTCAAATCCTCTTGTTGCCCATTTGACTTGGAATTTCATTAGGATCATAAAATTTTAGGGCGCGGAGGGGGGTGGGAGGAGTAACTGGTTTTCATACTACGCAACAGACATTATGACTGTATTCCTAACACTCTTCTAAAAGTGTTGATATTCTCCAACTAGTTCAGGGTCATTATACATAGTCAACTCTGGAAACCCCTGGTCTGTAAGTCTTTCCTTTACAAGAATACTGTATAAATGGAATCATACAGCATGTAACCTTTTGTTTTTAGCTACTTACGCTTAGCATAAATGCTCTGAGATTCAACTGTGCTGTTACATGTATTGCTCCTTTTTTATTGCTCATTATTGTTTCATTGAGCGGATGTACTTACTTAAGGAACAGTTCCCTACTTAAGGAACAGTTGAGTTTCTTCCAGTTTTGGTGATTATGAATAGAACCACTATAAACATTCATGGAAAGGGGTGTGTGTGTGTGCATGTCCCTTAGTTTTAATTTCACTTGAGTGGATACTTAGACATGAGATTGCTGGGTCAGGGGGCAAGTCTGCGTTCAACTTTACGAGAAACTGACAAACTGGTTTCCAAAGTGGCTGTGCAATTTTGAGTTTACATGGACAATGTGTGAGAGTTATGGTTAGGTTATATTCTTGCAAGCCCTGGGGATTGTCAAAGAAGTCTTTTTCATTTTAGCCGTACTAAGAAGTATGTAGTGGTATCACTGAAATTTAAATTTGCATTTCCCTAATGACCAATGTTGAACATCTTCATGTACTTGTGTGCCACTCAAATATATTCTTCTTTGACTGCGTTTACTTGTTACTAGTGATAGGAAATGCAGACAGCAGAGGGGCATTCTCTGCAGTCCTAAGTCAGCATCATAGGCAGGCAGTATGTCCTTGGATATCAGAGCGAGACCTTCTTAATGATCCTTCCCTGCCCCCAGTGGCAAGGTGTCTCTGATGGTCTGCGCCCATGATATATTTCCTGCCCCTCTCCCGGGATTAGAAGGCTTAGTATTTCTATTTCCTTCCCCCTGCTGCAGTAGGTCTTCATCAGTGCCCTGAAGGTCAAAAGGTTCGCTGTTCTTGCCCCTTGAGGTCTGTATTGAGAAGATAGGGAGAAGGATGGGGGAAGGTAGGACGTTTCGCTTTTCTTATGTCTGCGGCTGTTCTCCTTCACGCCTGCATTAGGAGGATGGCTTTCTCAGAACCCTTATCCCGCACACCAAATCTTTCTTGTAGAGTATAATGAGGTCTGTGGAGAAGAGCCGCGCGTGCTTGCAAATTTCTCTTGCGCTCCCGGGGCTTCTATATTCTCAAGCTAGCCCATACCCAGCCTTTAGCCATTTGATACAACTTTTAGACCGCTTTTTTGTTGTTCTTATCCGATTATATAGCATTTGGTGGTATCTCCCCAGGCAAGCCAGTACTTATGTCCTGTTTCTCCTTTGATGCATTTGTCTTTTCTTAGATTTCAGGTTATTTGATTACCTTTCAATTTCAGCCCTCAGATTATTTTAAGAGAAGTGCCTTTAAAGATTGTCTTGCTATTAAATTTGTTGTAATGGTGGGAGAAATATTTTTTTTCCAGCTTTTTAAATTCCCAAGTGGAAACCTGAATTCCCTTTTTTCAAAATTGACATATGAAGGTATGGACAAAAGTAGGTTTATAGTTGTCCATACGGAAAGTAATACAATAATATCACCCCCAAAAATTCAATAAAATTATACATAGTGGCAAAAAAGAAAATATTACAAAAATTAATAAATAATAATAGAAGAATAAACTTTCACATATAAGCCACTTTTGCCCACCACTATAATTGACATACAACATTGTATTTGTTTTAGGTATATGATATAATGATTTGATATATGTATATATTATGAAATGATTATCAAAAAACGATTTGAACTATTTTCAGTGTTATTATCTTTTTAATTAATTTTAAAAAATGAGATAATTGTAAATTTATATGCTATTATAAGAGAAGTAATGTACACTGTGTACATTTTATCCAGTGTACCTTATAAGTCATTTATAATTTTATCACATATGTAACTTTGTGTATCCACCAACAAAGTCAAGAATATAGAACATTTCTATAATCCCAAGGATCCCTAATGTTGGCATTTTATAATCACACATACACCTTGTCCCTAATTTCTGGCAACCACTAATCTGTTCTCTGTTTCCAAATTTTTGTCATTTCAAAAATGTTATGCAAATGAAATCACATAGTAAATAACCTCTTGGGATTTTTTTCACTTAGTGTATTCCTTAGAAATTCAAGTTACTGTGTGTATCAATAGTTCATCCCTTTTTATTGCTGAGGAGTATTACATACTATGTATATGCTACAGTTTGTTCAACATTCACTGATTAAATGACATCTGGATTGTTTTCCAGGTTTTGGCTGTTACAAATAAAGTTGCTATGAACTTTTGTATAAAGGTTATTGTGTGAACCTACATTTTCATTTATCTAGGGTATATGCCCAAGAGTACAATTGCTAGGTTATATGGCTTTGAATGTTTTGTTTATAAGAAACTGCCAGTTAATTTCTATAGTGGCTATATCATTTTACATTACCACCAGCAATGTATGAGTGATCCAGTTTCTCTGCATCTTTGTCAGCATTTTGTATTATCACTATTGTTTATTTTAACCTTTCTGAGAAGTGTGCAGTGTTATCTTATTATGGTTTAAATTTACATGTCACTTATGGCTAATGATGGTAAATATGGTTTTATATATGAAGTCTGTCTGGAAAAAGTCCAGCCATTGTTAATATAATGAGAATGGTTTGCGTGACATCAATGTAACCTAGCAGCCAAGGAGAGTGGACTGGAATGCACATGTGCGAACAATGACACCTTCACTGTACTAGTCAGTGGGGGCAGTAGACGCTGTTGAGTGAGCATGTGCACTGTGTGGCCATTGCATTCACAATGACTAAGTGAGTATAACAATGAATCTGCATCAAGTTTTGCATTAAGCTTGAACATTCCTCTGCAGAAACTGTTTGGATGATTCAGAAGGCCACAGCTATGGGCAACTGGTGATTGGCAGCTTCATCATGACAATATGCCCACTCAAGCATTACATCTTGTGTAGGGTTTTTTGTTGGGTTTTTTTTTTTTTTTGGCAAAATATCAAATCACCCAGGTGACTCAGCCCCCCTACAGCCCAGATTTGGTCCCTGCAACTTCTGGTTTTTGCCAAACTAAAATTACCTTTGAAAATGAAGATTTTATACTATTGATGAGATTCAGGAAAATATGATGAGGCAGCTGATGGTGATTGGGAAAACTATTTGAGGTCCCAAGGTGCCCACTTTGAAGGGGACTGAGGCACCACTGTCCTATGTACAATGTTTCTGTATCTTATATCTTCTTCAATAAACGTCTCTAGTTTTCACAGTACATGTTTGGATACTTTATAGACAAACCTTAGGTGTATTTGTCATTATGTGTATTCTCTTTGGTGAAATTTCATTCTTTTTTTTTTTTTTTTGCACATATATTTTAGTTAGTTTAGTTTTTTACTGTTGAGTTTTCAGAGTTTTTATGTTGTATATGCTATTTCTTTGTCAGATATGTGGTTTGCAAATATTTCCTCCTAATATGTACCATATCTTTTCACAGAGCAAAATTTTAATTTTGGTGAGAAATTCAGTAGCTATTCCTCAAAGCTTAATTAATTCAGAAACTACTTAAAGATTAACTACACAAAATACCATAGCCTATGGTGAAGTCTTGTAGTCGTTTACTTTGGAACTGGAAATAAGAATGAATGACTTATATTGCTTTCATTATTTAACATTATTTTGGGAAATTATTGCTAATGAAACAAACAAAAATCACCAAAACCAAAAATAGAGAGTTTCCAATCTTATGCCTTTCGTTTTTCTTGTCTTATTGCTTTGGCTAGAAGTTCTATTACTACGTTGAATAAGAGTGGTGAGAGTGGACCTCCTTCCCTTGTTTCCAAATGTAGAGGAAAAGCATCAAATCTTTCACTATTAAATATAAACTGTAGACTTTCTGTAGATAATCCTTGTCAAATTAACTTTCCTGTGTTTCTAACGAGTTTTTTAAAAAATCATGAATGCGAGTTGGATTTTCGTCAAACGCTTTTTCTGTCTGTTGATATAATCATGTGTTTTCCTTCTTTAGCTTGTTGATATGATGAATTATACTGATTGATTTTCAAATTCTGAATCAGCCTCACATACCTGGAATACTCACAATTAATCATGGTGTGTAATTCTTTTTGTGGTATTTTGTTGAAAATATTTTGAGTCTAAGTTCATTAGAGATAATGGTTTGCAGCTTTGTTTGTTTTGGTACTGTCTTTGGTTTTACTATCAGGATTATACTGGCCTTGTAAAATGAGTTGGGAAGTGTTCCCTGTTTTGTGTTGAAAAAATTTTTCGTTTTTATCCTCTTGACAAAAATTACAGAACAGACCAATTTCTGGAAGAGACATTTTCCAGGGTAGGTTTTCTGGAAGAAATTGTCTTAAACTGGCATTAATCCTGACTTAAATATTTGGCATAATTCTCTAGTGAAACCACATAACGGTACAAGGCTATTCAGATTATTTCATGTCTCTCGAGTTTTGGGTGGTTTATGGGTTTT